GCCGAGCGCGAAAGTCGTCTCCATCTCCGGCCGGAGCGCACTGACGACCTCGACCATCTCCGCCTCGGCGGTCTCGATCCGGCCGCGCACCTGGTCGAGGTGCGAGCGGAGCGGCGCGCCCGCGAAGAGCTGCTCCGGCGCAGAGCCCAGCGTGTCGCGGAGGAAGGACAGCAGCGCCTCGGACGCCTCTGTCACCTTCGCCTCTGACATTTGGGAAATAAAAAGAATTTTCATTTACAATGTCGTTGATGAGCCAACCTCGCTTGCGAGGGGCGTGTGGCATGTCTGAACGGACTCGTGAGGGGAGCCTGCCAACCTCATTCGTCGAAGCGGCGCTTTGTACCCACACCCACCCCGCCGCATTCGTCGCCGGCGCGCGACAGGCTCCCGTCGGCCGGACTGCCCTCGACGGTACAAATCATCTTCGTTCGCACGTACACGATGACTTCCTGTCTCCCTACGCCGCTTCTCCTCCCCCTGTTGCGCGACCTCCTCCAGCTTCTCCTCGTACACCAGCAGTTCCTCGTTGATATTTCCCCATAGATTTCTCAGCGCCTCCACTACAATCGTCTCCATCATCCTCCGGTTGCTCCCACCTACCTCCTCGCGCTGCTCACTCATCCATGGCGCAGAGTCAAAGTGCTCAACGTCTCTCTCTCTCTCTCTCCCGCTCAGCAAAAAATCAGCATTATATCAGGAGGAGCACTTGGAGCACTTGGAGTGCAGTCATCAACCGCACATCCAGGGCCGGAGGTGAATTTACTTTTTGGCCCAAAATCGCGGCCGCCCAGCGTAAAAGGCGGCGCTGCACGCGCTCGCCGCCAGCCCGCCCCGTCGCCCCACAGCTGCAACCCGCCTACAGTGAGCGGCAGCACGTCTGCGCGCCATGGACTGCTGTTCCTGCAACAACAAGAACGAGATCGTCGAGCCCGCCCCGGCGGCCGATCCACCTCCAGAGCCAGCGCCGGCGCCAAAAGAGCAGGAGAGAGGCCGCCGCCAGGAGAGAGAGCGAGAGGAGAGAGGCGCGCTCGCGGCTCGCTGGAGGGCGGATCGCTGGCCGCGTCCGCGCGTGTGGTCGCCTGGCGGGACGAGTCAGCGGTGCCGGCGCGGCCCGCGGCGCTTCCCGGGAGAGAAAGTCAGCTCTCTCGGGTGCTTTTGGTCAGGTGGTCTCGTTCGGGGCGTGGACGTCGGACGCGGACGCGGACGGCGTCGCCGACGCCGGCGCCAACGCCGGCGCCGGTGCCGGTGCGAGCCAGGAGTGGCTCAAACTCAGCGAGGAGGAGCCGATGTTTTACGGGAGCGGAGGCGCCCTCGACGATGATTTGCTATTTGCCCGAGTTATGTGCTGTTGTGATCGTATGCTCATGGGTGCGGAGGCGCGACGTCTTCGGCCGACGACGCAGCGGCGACGTCTGCAGCGGCGGTGGGCGAGGCGGCGGCGGAGGCGGCGGCGGCGGCAGCGGCGGGTGAGGCGGCGGGAGAGGCGGAGGCGGAAATGTTCCCCTCAGACCAGTATCCAGGCAACTCGCGCATCGACGCAGCCTCGGAAGCGGCTACTGTTGGCTGCGTGATGACGCGTCTCGGAGCCTTCCTTCCCCCAGGCAACTTGCGCATCGACGCGGCCTCGGAGGTCCGGGCGGAGCTTGCGGCGTTCAACAAGTGGAACAACGGGCGCGCCTCGAGAGGTGGGGAGAGGTGGGGAGAGGTGGTGAGAGGTGGGGAGAGGTGGGGAGAGGTGGAACAACGGGCGCGCCTCGAGAGGTGGGGAGAGGTGGGGAGAGGTGGGGAGAGGTGGGGAGAGGTGGAACAACGGGCGCGCCTCGAGAGGTGGGAGAGGTGGGGAGAGGTTGGGAGAGGTGGGGAGAGGTGGAACAACGGGCGAGGCCTCGCCGCCGAGAGGAGATGTGGTCGGGGCCACAGTTGTGAGAGAGATCGCCACTGGCAGGGAGTGGACGCAGATTCGACATCGACGCCGTATCTCCCCATATCTCCCCATATCTCCCCATATCTCCCCGCATCTCCCAGGGAGTGGACGCAGACCGACATCGACGCCGTGAAGGAGCAGCAGGCAGCGGCGATGGAGGCGGAGTACGAGGCATCGTGGGCGCAGCACTGCCTGGACAAAAGTCGAAGAGCAGAATGATAGTTCGTACTCGAGCATAATAGGCTTCTACCGCACAGGACGACCTCGACAAACGTCAATGGGCAGTGTACTGATTCGTGTCCTCGAGCACCATAGGCGTCTGTCGCGCAGGACGACCTCGATGAGGTGGCCTACCGCCAATACGGCGGCCGGGCTGCGGTGTCCCGCCGCCTCCCGGGTGCAGGACCCTTCCCTGAACTTTCTCGGAAGTTTGCGCCCGTAGGCACCGGTTGCTGCGTCTGCTGCATCGGGTCTCACTCTCAGCCGACCAGCATCAAGTGCCTTGTCATGTGACGGGAGAGGGGGGGGGGGGGGGGGGCCCCCCTGGAAGGGGAATGTGGCCCCTGGGGGTTTGGGGGGAGGGGGGGGTCACCCCCCTTTGAAATCCCAGGGGGGGGGTCGGCCCAACAATCCTTCCAAATTTCAGCGTCCCGCTGCCCCCAGGGGGATGCACGGGGGGGGGCCCCCCCTCTCCCAGGGTCCATGCCCCCCCCCCGCCCCCTGTGGCAAGTGGGGGGGGGGGAGGCCCCCCTTTATTGGCCCCTGAAACCTGTGAGTGCAAAGGGGACCTAAACTGTGCCCTGGGGAAATTTCCCTGCAAAAGGCTCTCGGAAAACAAGCCCCCGGCTCCAGGGAACTTGGAGTTTTAAAAAGGCTTTGAGGGGGCACGGGCACTTGGAGCACTTTGGAATTGCGGGCGGAAACCCCCCAAGGGTCACATCCCCCCTCCCGGGGGGGGCCGGGGATCAAAAAATTTAAACAAAAAAA